CCTATTTAAAGTGTATTTGTATTCCAACATTAAAATGTTGTGTTTACTTTGAGCAGTCTTAGGATAAATAAGTTCATTTGGATTTGACATGTGTTTTCTTGAAGCTTATCCAGAAGGGGTGGTTAAATTTTAGTTTCAACCCCTGGCAACAGCGCCTGAGAAATTCCAAAACCACCAGCAAAACAAGTAAAATCCTGCCTTGGTATCACATGCTTTACTTTTAGATATGATACAAGGGAATTCCTCATATTATGAGACAATGACAGGAACATGAGGATCCCTCGAAACAAATTTCAGTAAAAAAAAAATCGGTATACATGTACCTTCTAACAACATGTAATTCGAACTTGTGTATGAATCGTATTAACTGTTAAATAACCGCAGTTTAAACATTTGGTTCACTTCCATTACTCTTAATTTGATAACACCAAGTGGGAAAGACAGTTAAAGGAAAATTAAACTTAAGGATGGAGAAAGCAGTAGTCTTGAGTGCCTACAAACGGAAAATAACTGAAATAAACCCAGAGTCAAAATTGCGTTCGTACTAAAACTGCAGTACTGGAGAAAAGAATGACAGAGTGCTCAAAGTCAAGATGTCTGGCAGGCTTAGACAAAGCTGAGGGGAAGAATTTTGAAAAAGGCTAACTAGCTCAGATTTGCAAGGACAACAGTACTTAGATCAAAAAATGTCATGAGACTTTTAATCTCCTCATTTGCAGCTGTTTTGATGATTTAAGTTAATTAAAACCTGTGGCAAGATTCAAAACAAGCAAAAGCATTAAAATAACTCACAAAACGGACTGACCTGTTAAGTCTTGTCCTTGAGGTAGTTGGTTTTACAATTTTCTTCGAAAATAGTATCTGTAAATAAAATCATTATTATTGTTATAAAAAGTGGGGCCTGTTAGACTGAATATATAGAAGAGAAATGACGTTTCCTTATTTTAATTTTTTCCTATTCTCGTGTTATTTTTGCATTAATTTCAAGGTTACTGTCTTTGTTAGAATAACGTGGCGCCCCGCCCCTACGACGAAGGCGAGGGCGCCCTCCTCCTCGAGGCGCGGTGCGTCGGACGGCACGCCGGAGAGTCCCTGAGCGGCTAGGGACGAGTCCGTTGGGACCGAAGTATACCGTCCCCCAAGAAAGTTGTTCTTCGTCGAGATGATGGCTAATCTGATCGGTCGAAACTTAATGACGCAACCTGGACAGACCTGACTTGAAATAAACTTCGCCTGGACTCCTGACTTATATACAACAATTAACAAGCGGCTGCTTTATTCATCAACACACTCAACCAATACACCAGTAGAGGGCACTATTGACGGGGAGACTGCGTGATTATACGTGACCGGACTTCACCCAGAGCAGTGAACACCACAATTAATTGTGGGCATCCATAAAAACAGTGCCGAATCAGGGACTTTAGCAAGCTCTACAGAGCTTATTGTCAGGGCTGCGCTACACGCAACTCACGTCACGAGATAGCAATCCACCTTTGCATCGACTGCAAGCTCATATCAGGAACTATACCGCACCTCCAATCAGCCCCTCAACAGCACACGCACCACTCGGACTTAGGCACAGTCACACTAGGCTAGGTGACTTTAACCCTTGCACAGGATCCTCGACCCTTCAGGATAAGCCCTTGATCAGGGCGACTAGTCCTAGTCTAGCGCGCCTTTTATAGCTTTCGCGCTGCTCTGACCACGCCCGCGCGCGCGCTCACGTGACCAAGCAGTGACTTCCGCTGCCCTATCGCACAANTCTATTTAAAGTGTATTTGTATTCCAACATTAAAAATGTTGTGTTTACTTCGAGCAGTCTTAGGATGAATAAGTTCATTTGGATTTGACATTTGTTTTCTTGAAGCTTATCCAGAGGGGGTGGTTAAATTTTAGCTTCAACCTCTGGCAACAGCGCCTGAGAAATTCCAAAACCACCAGCAAAACAAATAAAATCCTGCCTTGATATCACGGGCTTTACTTTTTGAGGATCCCACGAAACAAATTTCAGTTAAACAATCGGTATACATGTACCTTCTAACAACACGTAATTCTAACTTGTGTATGAATCGTATTAACTGTTAAATAACCGCAGTTTAAACATTTGGTTCACTTCCATTACTCTTAATTTGATAACACCAAGTGGGAGAGACAGTTAAAGAAAAATTAAACTTAAGGATGGAGAAAGAAGTAGTCTTTAGTGCCTACAAACGGAAAATAACTGAAATAAACCCAGAGTCAAAATTGCGTTCGTACTAAAACTGCAGTACTGGAGAAAAGAAATACAGAGTGCTCAAAGTCAAGATATCTGCTTAGACAAAGCTGAGGGGAAGAATTTTGAAAAAGGCTAACTAGCTCAAATTTGCAAGAACAACAGTAGTTAGATCAAAACATGCCATGTAAGTGTCTTCGGAGACTTTTAATCTCCTCATTTGCAGCTGTTTTGATGATTTAAGTTAATTAAAACCTGTGGCAAGATTCAAAACAAGCAAAAGCATTAAAATAACTCACAAAACGGACTGACCTGTTACGTCTTGTCCTTGAGGTAGCTGGTTTTACAATTTTCTTCGAAAATAGTATCTGTAAATAAAATCATTATTATTGTTATAAAAAGTGGGGCCTGTTAGACTGAATATATAGAAGAGAAATGACGTTTCCTTATTTTAATTTTTTCCTATTCTCGTGTTATTTTTGCATTAATTTCAAGGTTACTGTCTTCGTTAGAATAACGTGGCGCCGCGCCCCTACCACGAGGTCGAGGGCGCCCTCCTCCTCAAGGCACGGTGCGTCGGACGGCACGCCGGAGAGTCCCTGAGCGGCTAGGGACGAGTCCGTTGGGACCGAAGTATACCGTCCCCAAGAAAGTTGGTCGTCGTCGAGATGATAGCTAATCTGATTGGTCGAAACTTAATGACGTAACCTGGACAGACCTGACTTGAAATAAACTTCGCCTGGACTCCTGACTTATATACAACAATTAACAAGCGGCTGCTTTATTCATCAACACACTCAACCAATACACCAGTAGAGGGCGCTATTGACGGGAGACTGCGTGATTATACGTGACCGGACTTCACCCAGAGCAGTGAACACCACAATTAATTGTGGGCATCCATAAAAACAGTGCCGAATCAGGGACTTTAGCAAGTCTACGGGGCTTATTGTCAGGGCTGCGCTACACGCAACTCACGTCGCGAGATAGCAATCCACCTTTCCATCGACCGCAAGCTCCTATCAGGAACTATACCGCCCCACCAATCAGCCACTCAACCTACCGAGCCCCTCCACAGCACACGCACCACTCGGACTTAGGCACAGTCACACTGTACTAGGCTAGGTGACTTTAACCCTTGCACAGGATTCTCGACCCTTACCTCAGGATAAGCCCTTGATCAGGGCGACTAGTCATAGCCTATGCGCGCGTTTTATAGCTTTTGCGCTGCTCTGACCACGCCCCCGCGCGAGTGCTCACGTGACCAAGCAGTGACTTCCGCTGCCCTATCGCACAACGCACAAGGCGGAGCCTATGCGCCGCGCTTGCTTAACACACAGCTATGCGCGCCTAACATCTGCCTCTGTTAGAGCGCCATCTATAATTCTGCACCGTGCCTAGTGACTAGCGCCTTCTGTCGCGTCACAATAAGCATATTTTTAACGTTCTGCCTCTCAAAGCTTTTGTTAAAGTTACAAATAGTGCCTTTTGGAAATTTTCCAAAAAAATTGTCGCCGTTTTCACGAAGAGGCAAAAATGTCAAAATTTCCGAAATAAACAAAAAATTTCACATTTTTCAATTTTAGCAGAAAATGATTTAGCCTCATTTGGCAAAAGCTTGACGTTGGAAAGTGCTTAGGCCTATTTGGCGGGAAAACGGAAATTAAGAAAATGCAGAAAGAGCTTAAAATGCGTTTTAGGGTTTTCACGAAGAGCCAAAGTCCATATTGTCACTTCATTTTATACCCACAATTTACATGGTACAGCAACACGGCCGTTCTCACGAAGAGAGAAAGACCTATACGCGCTTCGTACGGTACTTCCTGTAATCAAGGTACACAAAGCAACCGCCTTCCTTTATTCCGTAATTAAACAGCGATTACGAATGGGCAAAAATTCATAAATACCATTTCATTCAGAAAGTCAAAAGAAGTCAAATTATAATGGTTTTCCAAGGATTTCGTTCTGAAACTTTACTTTCTTTTTCCCGGACATCGCCGTCCATTAGATAGTATAATTCGTTTTAAAGTTGTCCAATAGAATCCCTTCAATGAACTTGGCGCACGTGGCGCGTTGGTGCATGCACACAGACTCCTGACCAATCAGACCTGATTAAACGTGTTTGTATCCATGTGGCATCTTGTGATTTACGCAGCGGGAATGAATACCTTGGACAGTTTTTCTATTCGTATAGGTCGAAACGCGCAAACGTGACCTGGCCTTGTATTAATATTTGATAGTGCCTGCTGAAAAGTGATAATTCAAGGTCCTACTAGTCTTGCCTTGGGTAAATCAAATAGTTGTGCTTGACTGACTCTTAATAGGCCTGCGGGTTTATCCTCTTCTTAAACATTTTTTAGCAAATTAGCGGCATGGGCTGAATCTTAACAGAAACAAACAGTTCTTGGGTTTTGTTGGCGTTTATTTTCATATCATTTCCCACTGACCCTTGGCAAGCTTTGTCAATTGACCCCCGAAGTGCAAGTTGACACACAAAATGGTACTATCGTCGGCATAGGTTTTAGATTGGCAAGGAGTAGTCAGGTGGTGGATCCGGACAATCGATAAAATATTTTCAGTATTTCCAAGAGGAAAAATTACATGTATCTATGGGCCCATTGTATAGTTTAGCAGGTACTAAGGAATATTTTTAAAAAAAAATTCGTAAATCAAAGTGATGTTTGACTGGTTCATTATCTTGATAACGTCTATGCATGCCAAACGACATCCATGAAATTTCTTTTTTAAGATCCATTA